TGTATTTTGGTGCTCCTTCATTTGGTGAGTATATGTAAGTGAGTGTTATGTCTTCTTGATGTATTGTCCCCTTGATCATACTGTAGTACCCGTAAATGTCTCTTTTTACTTTTTTTTTAATTTGGAGTTTATTTCATCTGATATAAGTATGGCTGTTCCTGCCTTCTGTTTTGGTCCATTTACTTGTGGGATTATTTTCCAACCTTTTACTTGCAGTCTGTGTTTATCTTTTGTGGTTAAGTGTGTTTCCTGGAGACAGCAGAAGGATGGATTTTGTTTTTTAATCCAGCTTGCTACTCTCTGTCTTTTTATTGATGAGTTTAATCCATTTACATTTAGAGTTAATATTGATATGTTGTTGGGCTTCCCTGGTGGCGTAGGCAATTGATCGCTGCACTGTTAAGCTGTCCGCAGCCTCTGCAGCATGGGTTTGATCCTACCGGCCAGCGAGAATCCACATGGTGCAGCAGACCTCTCCTGTCTCACCTGCTGATCCCCTCAGCAGTGTATCTCGTCAGTCTGCCTGTTCTGTTCCCTGCTCTGTGTCTGGTGAATTCTCTCACCCTCCCACACATCTAGCCTGTACCCCATTTCTTGTATAAATAAATTTAAAAAATATATTGATATGTTGGCATCTGTATTTGCCATTTTGTTTGTCTTTTTTGTGATTTTATTCCTCGCTTTGTTCTGTTCTTCTTGATCCTTCCTCTGTTGGTTTTGGCTTTAGGACTTCTTGTAGAAATTTTGGGATTGGGGATTTATTTGTAATGAATTTCTAAAGTTTCTGTTTGTCTGAGGAGGTCCATATGTTTTCTTTGTAGAGGAAGGAGAGCTTTGTAGGGTAAAGTATTCTTGGTTGGCATTTGCTGTCTTAAAGTTTGTTGAATATGTTGCTCCATTATCTTCTTGGCCGTAGTGTTCTTCAGAGAAGTCTGAGGTTAACCTGATTGATTTTCCCTTATAAGTTATCTGTTTTTTCCCCCTTGCCCTTGCCGGTTTCATTGTTTTTATTTTGTCTTGGACTCTTACAAGCTTTACTAAAATGTGTCTTGCTATAGTTTTATTTTCATTGTTCTAATTTGGTGTTCTTTTCGCTTCTTGTATGTCTATATTTTTCTCCTTTTTCTTGCTTGGGATGTTTTCTTCAATTATCTCCTTGAATAATTTCTCAAACCCTTTGTCTCTCTCCTCACCTTCTGGAATACTTATAGCGCTTATATTTTCTCTCTTCATGGAGTCTATAATTGTCTAAGTGTATTCTTATTCTTCCTTTGCACTTCTCTCTCTTTTTTCCCTTTAGGTTCTTTCTATTTCTGTATTTTCAAGAATACTGATCCATTCTTCCATTTCCTCGGTTCGGTTTTCAATGCTTTTCTAAGAGCTCTTTGTCTCCTCCAGTAATCTTTTAGTCTCCTCCTTTTATTTCTTTTCTTAAGGTCTCATTTTCATTCTTCGGTTTGTTGAATATTTGTCTCATTTCATTATACGTTTTAATCATGATTATTATTAATTCTCTATCTGACAGCAGATAATTTCTTTCATGTCATTGTTGAGCTCTGGTGACTGATTTTCTTTTTTTTTTTTTGGTGTGTCCTTCTTCTGTGGGCTTGCTTGATTATTTGTATTTTTCCTTTTCCCAGCTGTTTGCTTTCTAATTTGTTCTATGCGTTGGGACGTTGTGCCACTGGTGTTGGCAATCATCTCTTTGGATTGCTCCTTCAGCGGTGTCAGAAACAGTTTACCAGACTGATACCAGCACTGGTTGGCCAAAACTCCATCAGGGTGTTGATGCTGTGACTGTATTGCTGAGCACTGTCTCTTACAGTTCCCTCCCTCTGTATTTATCCAGTTCCAGCAGGAAATCAGTTTGTGGTGATTTTGCTCTTGCCACTAGGTGGCGCTAGAGACCTGTACTTGCCAACCTGTTTTCCCCTGTAGTTCTCTGAGAAAAGGAGGGGGAGGGGAGCACCTGGACGCATGGGCTATTGCTCATGCTGGGTGCTGTGTCTACCCCATGTTCACCCAGTGCTGGCCGGCAGCTGTGTGGATCCGGTGCCCTGAATTCTGCACTCTAGTTCTCAATCTCAGAATCTCAGATCCAAAATGATGGCTGTCACCCTGTGCAGTGCCCACTCTTATGGCGCGTCGATGCCCCGAATCCTGTGCCTGGCTCTCAGTTCCAGAATGGTGTCTTGCTCCATGACTTGTTTCCTTTGTTACCCCATTTGTGTGGCCGTCTTCCCCACTCAGAGCCTGAGGACAGTTTTGGGATCCCTGGCTTCCAACTATCAGGATTTTGGTGATTTTGTTCTGATCACTAGGTGGCGCCAGACATCTTTCCTAGTATCCTTCCAGAACTGTGCTTTTTCCCGTGGGTCTCTGGGGAACAGAGTGGGGGAAGCGTGAAATGGCTCAGTGGTGTGGGGTGCTGTGTCAATTTTGTACCCAGGATCTCACTTCTGAAGCCCTCAGATCCAGGACGGGGGCAGGAGCCCAGCTCAGTGTCCTCAGAAATGGCACCTTTTGCACCCCGCTCCCTGCCCCAGCGCCTGGTTTTTGATTACTCAGTGAGGGTCATTCACCTCAGTGATGATTCCCATGTGTCTCATCAGGAACCTAGGTCTGGAGCAGGGACCTGGGCAGCCACGATCCACGTATGCTTTTTGAGAGCGCCCGCGCTTTTCCGCACAAGCTTACAGGCTGGACTTCAGCTATTTGAGGAGTCCTAATCTTCCTCCAGTGGCGCCCAGAGCCAATTGCTCACCTCCATGGTGATTCCTGCACAGTTCTCCACAGTTCCCATTTGGGGGTGCAGTGCCTTCAGTAGCTCCTTTCCAATCACAGTCTCGTTTGATCTGTAGTTTGTCTTTGTTGTTGTTATTGTTTTCTTTCTGTTGGTCTGAGTGTGCCGGCTTTGTGGGTGGGGGAAGGGTAGCAGGGTTCTGAGCTTTACTCTCTTTTCATCCTCTTTTATGGCAACTTTCCTCTTTTGGCAGTTTGCCAGAGTCGCCTTTTATCTTCCTTGTCCCTCTTCTAGCAGGGACCTGCTGTTTTTCCTCCCTATTAACTTTATTATTTATTTATTTATTTTTTTTTTTGGAGGACTTACAGCGTTTCCCCACCTCCATGTTGATCTGGGTGTCTTAATTTAATATTAGATGTATTAGCTGGAGTAGTTAGGCAATGATGAAAATGAAAGGAATACATGTTGGATAAGAAGAAGTGAAAATAGGGCCTCCCTGGTGGCACAAGGGGTTAAAGACACAGCACTATCAAGCTATGGCCAGCCACTGCAACATGAGTCCCATCCCTAGCCAAAGTGATAACCCATATGGTGCAGCAGACCTCTCCTGTCTCAACATCTGCTCCCCTCAGTGGTGTATTTCAGTAGATCCACCTGTTCTGCTCCCCACTCTGTCTCTGGGGATTCCTCTCATCCCCACACCTCTGGCTTACACCTCAGTTCTTGTATACATAGATAAATGAATATTTTTTAAAAAACAAGTGAAATACTGTTATTCACAGACAATTTGATGCTATAAATAGAAAGACAACACCAGAAGGCCATAGAAATAATAAATGAATACAACAATGTGACAGTTACAAAAATCAACATATAAAAATCATTCAAGAAGAAACATAAATTGAGTGTACAAGAAGAAAATAATTCCATTCATAATCGCATCAAAAAGAATGAAACAGCCAGGAATTAACCTAACCAAGGAGGTTTATTATTTACAAAATAAAAGCTACAAGATGACATTATACATTTTAGAGCATGACATAAGGAAATGGAAAGACATCACATGCTCATGGGAACAATCAATATCATCAATTTGACTCTTCTGCCAAACACCATATATAGATTTAATGTAATCCCTATTAAAATACCAATGATATTTGTCAAAGAGATGGAACAAAAATTATTAAAATTTATATGGAACCAATAAAGATCTCAAATAGCTAAAGCAAATCCTAAGGAAAAAAAGGGAAAGAAACAGAGGTATCATGTTACCTGACTTTTAAACCATATAGCATAAAGTAAAAGTAATAAACAATAGTATTGGAGAAAAAGAGACACGTAGATCAGTGGGACAGAATAAACTCCAAAAGCCCAGAGATAAATCCAAGCATCTGTCAATATTTACTCTATGATAGAAGAGCCATAACCATACATGGGAGAAAGGAGAGCCTCTTCAACACATGATGCTGGGAAAATTGGATGGCTACTGGTGAGAGAGTAAAGATGGGTCACTCAAACTCCATGCACAAAACCAAATTCTAAATGGATTAAAGACTTAGATATATGACCTGCAGCAATAAAACACATGGAAGAAAACATTGGCCATACATTTCATATCATCCATGATAAAGATGTCTTTAGCGTGTCAACCCCTATGGAAAGAGAATAAACCACTGTTTCACTTTCAAATTTATCTTTTCATAGGAATCATTCCACCCAATTTATTATGTATTGAAATGCAATGGAAATCAGCAAATCATGGAAACAGCAGATTAGGGCCTAAGCAGAGAGGAAAGCAGGAAGGGATGCTAATGGGTGTGGTGTTTGCTTTTGATGTGATAAGCATGTGGTGGTGGGCCAACATTGTAAACGTGGTAAACTCTCTGAGTGACACACTGTAGAATGGTTAAAATGGTGAATTGTATTTTATATGCAACTTACATGAATTTACTTTAAGTGTAGTAGGGACTGAACAAGATGCATCAGCAACATGTGTAAACATTGCATACCAGACTCCTGTTGCAAAATTAAATGTATAGGGATACAATGTATAGTTCGGTGACTATAGTTAGTAATACTGTATTGAATATTTGAAAATAGCTTAGAGAAAAACATTCTTGTCACAAGAAAAAAATGTCATCCCAGTGATGTATGGAGCATATTGTACTGTACACAGTCATTTCACTGTGTCCAATATGGAATCATTGTGTTGTGCACCTGAAACTAATATGTCAATTATGCCTCAATTTTTTTTAAGGACAAAAGGGAAAAACTGGCAGATTGGAAGGAAGCAGCCTAGGGACTCCGAACCTTTTGAATCAGCATTTGCAACTGGCTTCTCTTTCCTGTGACTAACAGACCATCTTTCATCTGCGTACAGGATACACACCGAGGTCTCTTTATCCAGCAACTGCGAACTATGCAGAACCTCCAGCCGAGAATCAAACTAAAGCTGTTTGGCCACTCAGGGTCTGGGAAGACCACACTGGTAGAGTCTCTGAAGTGTGGGCTGCTAAGGAGCTTCTTCAGAAGATGCCGGCCCAGACTCTCTGCCACCAACTCCACCAGATTCCCACCTTCACACCTGGTTTCCAAGCCAGCAGGTAGGCCCTTCCACACAGGCCCCTGTCTCTCTAGTAGGTGGGTGCTTTTCTATTCTCTCAAATCAGGTGTAGGATGAATGGTGGCTTAGTTGGGTCTCTAGGTCTGAGACTGACCAACTCCTGCCACGTGGGAGGCTCTCAAGCATGGTCTAACCCTGCTGTGGATCTTGTGTCCACCTGAGGATTACAGACTGTCCAATGATAACAAGGAAAAGGCTTCACTGAAACCACAGAATCACAGAGGCCCTCCACGGCAACTGCAAAGAGCAGAATTGTTGTGTTCTTCTTGGGAACTCTGCCTTTAAGGACACAGAGACCTGGGACGAAAAAGGTGAGTTTTGGTTTCTTATGAAAACTTGGAGTTTCTGTCCACACTGCAACATGAGTCCCATCACCAGCCAGGACAAAGGTCAAAAGGGCATTCCAAATTGAGGGCAACAAAGAAAAAAGATGCAGTCTGCAACGCCTAGACTTAGTTCTGGGCACAGTGAGTAGGACTGGAGGCAGTGAGTGAGACCACCGAGAACTGACCAATCACAAAGAGACTGGTGGGGCTTTAAAATAATCAGGGAAAGAAGGTCTATATTCCCTGAGGCCCGACTCCCCTTGGCTTCCCTGCCTTTCCCTGGCCTGGTTCCATGGCCTGGGAGTCCCACTTTATTTCTGTTCCTTTTCTCCTAAAAAAAAAACTACAACTGATTACTCAATCTTAAATCTGCCCTTTTCATCATCTGCTGAAAAAAACTAATGATAACTTGTTAAATATCTAAAATGACTTTCCTCATTGTAAGGAAACTGAACTTTGAGGTTTACATTTTGCTCCTTACTGTAAGGAAACTAAACTTTCAGGTCTCCTTTTTGCTCCTTATTGTAAGGGAGCTAAAGTTTAATGTCATCTCAAACAAAAATTAAAGGATGTGTTTGTGTAAGTTGTCTAGTCTAAAGAGATGATAGTATAACAACTCTTACAACGTTTTACAATGTAGAGGGTGAAAACTAGGATGTAATAACTCTAAATGCAAGTGAGGTCAGGTGTGTGTGTTTGGAAAAAAAATGTATTGAAGGTGGATATTCTAAAGGTCCTTAAGATAATTTAAAGTAGGATGGGTAAATGAAATGGTATTAAAAAGAAAGAAGACAAAGGAAAGTATTGAAGGTCTGAGAGATTTTGGTGAGAAATTTTGTGTGCTCAGGTGACTTACTATGGGATGTTTTGGTTCACTTGGGCATTGGTAGTGTACACCCATGTAACACCAGGTTTAGTTCTTTTATATATATATATAAAAATTGAGGTATTCAAAAAACTGCTTTCACTAGTTTCTTACAACAAATTAAAGACTGTTCAGGTAATCTAAAACCTTGGTGCTTTTGCCCTCAGGTTACCTGGAAAAACCTTATCATGCCAGCATTTCTGAGCCTTGTCAAAGAAATAGATCTACTCTTAAAATCCTTGTCACCCTGAGTAAAGAATTATTTTGTAAAGATCAGGAAGTTCTATAACAATTTCATTCTACACTAGTAAAAGTTTTGTCTTAAGAGAGCTCTTAAGACACCTAATAAAATTGTTTTTCATTGTGAAATACAGTCAATTTGGGAATATTGATACCTCATAAAAAGTATTCTCATAAGATAGTTACTCCTTTTTAACATAAACGTAAGCTAATGAGATTGTTCTGAAATACATAAGACTTCTTAAAACCTAATAAGCCAGTCAATTATAAAAGGGCTAAAAAAGTTACTCAAAAGCCCAAAGTCCCACACCATTACAGGCTGGATGTGCCAAGGCCATACAAAAGTGCACTACTCTAAGCCCAGAAAAGGACATGTCTCAGGTCTTGCTCTGATGTCGGGTGCAGGCTCCGGAGACTAAACCAGGGGTGACCAGTGAAAGCCACTCACATGTGCACAACCTTGGTCCTAGCACAAGAGGGCGAGGTGATACTGGGAGCTCCTTTTATTAGCCGGTCTGCATCAGATATATGGCAAAAAACTCAAAACTCGCCATGGGACCCCAAACTCAGCCACACCAGCTTTTAAAGGTGGCTTTTAAAATCTTGATTAGGGACCAAAGTAAAGGGTGAGAGAAAGAAGGTTGTGATGAGTAAGGGCAGGTGCCATTAATAGGCACCACTGAGTCCTAGGGCAAGTTGGGGATAACAGGCAGCCTCAAGGACAGTGCAGGATTTCAGGAGAGCTAAGGATGACTCCAGAGATAAGGGCAACAAATTCCAAAGGGGACCAATCAGACACCCCTGGACAGGGCATTCCAAATTGACAACAGTAAAGGGAAAAAGAGTTCTGGGGCACAGAGGCTTAGTTCTGGGCACAGAGACATTCAGACAGTGAGCGAGACCAACGAGAACTGACCAATCACAAAGAGACTGGTGGGGCTTTCAAAAAATCAGGGAAGAAGGTCTATATTCCCTGAGGCCCAACTCCCCTTGGCTTCCCTGCCCCTCCCTGGCCTGGTTCCAAGGCCTGGGAGTCCCACTTTATTTCTGTTCCTTTTCTCCTCAATAAACTTTTTCTTTCTCTGAGCAAATCCGCCTCTTCTAGCTTGCTTGCCTGAGTGTGAAGTTCCTGCTGCAGCTTCGTGAGACACCAACCCACGGTGGTCCAGTGACTGGGACTCTGTGCTGTGCCTGCAGCCTGGGATCCCTTCCTTGCTGGGAGACTAGGCCTGAAAACCTGCAATTCCAGTATCAGTATGATTTGGTAGGTTATTTTGGAGGTGCTGGGAATGGAGAAAAATTCCACACTTATTAATGGTAATAGTGTTCCCAGACTCCAAAAATAACCTACCTATTCTCCTTTTGGATAGCAGGACAAACCTATATAGAATATTGTCTTTCTTAGCCTTGTAAGGTAAAATCACAGATGCCAAATGGTTATTCTGAGATAATGTGGCTTGGACGAAGCAAACATGTTGAGATAAAATTTGTCAAGAAAAATATTTTCAAAATATAATTTAATAGCTGAGAAAATATTTTAACTATAACAGCACTTAATAGTTTTCCGTGAGCTTGCTTTCAAAGTGACAATTTGCAAAGTACCGATATATAGTCATATGAAATGACCTTAAGAGTGTGCAGCATTGAAGAGGAATTTGAAGTTGTGACAATAAGCATAGCTGACTATTAAACAGTTGACGTTAAAGACAGAAGTAGCACTCTTCCTGTGGAGAAATCATAATCCCAGCAAACAGTTTTCCTCAAGATGAGCAATATTTAAACAATACAATCTATTGGTTGAAAATCTTTGAGTCAATCTGTGACTAAAGCACAAGGTGCCTTGTGAAATGTAAATGTTAATAGAGTAAATGTAAATGTTAGTAGAGTAGACAAAAGCAAGCCTGGGGAAAGCAACAGAAAGAATGTAACCACCTATCTGACCTGGGAGTTGGATCCTGGCAATCAGAGGCTTAGCATCTCTCCTCCCTGAGAATGTTCCTTCCCAGGAACTGCTCTGAGACAAATGCACAGTCTGGAGCCTTGAGATGGTTCCTTGTTATTGTGTTGGTATGGCCCAGGGCACCTGAACCTTGCACCCCTCAGGGCAAACCACCTTTTCCCACAAGGAAGACTGAACTCTGCTCCAAGATCAGGCCTCCTGTGAGATGGAGCTGCTGGGAAGGGGGCAGAGCAGAATGGCCATTTTGAGGAGCCTTTATTTTTTTTTTAAGATTTTTTAAAAATTTATTTATACAAGTACTGGGGTGCAGTCACAGGTATGGGAGGATGAAAGAATTCACCAGAAACAGAGTGGGGAGTAGAACAGGCAGATGGACCAAGGACACTGCTGAGGGTAGCAGCAGGCAAGACAGAAGAGGTCTGCTCGCCATGTGGGTTTCTCCCTGGCTAGCCGGGAATTGAACCCATGTGCAGAGGCTGCGGACAGCTTCCCAGCGTGGCACTCAACCCTCTGTGCCACTGGGGATGCCCCAATTTTGAGGCATCTTTAAAAGAAAGCCATACACGTGGGTTCACTGTGTGTGGAAGGCAGGTGCTCTGCTGACCAGGCAGGTGGTAGGACACTGCCCCCCAGATCGCCAGCCCCCCACCTCAGCAATAGCAGGCATCTGCATGTCTTACTTGGTCTGGTGGCAGCAGGACTTGGGGAGACTGTGCAGAGGTGCCACAGGCTGTGATGGTCAGGGCTCTCTGTACCCTGCTTTCTCCTACAGCTGCAGCTCCACCTCACACCATCTGTTGGGACTGGGCCTTCTCCTTCCCTCTACTCTGTTAGTTAAAATAGATCTTTTTCTTTTGCTTCACCAAATGCTCTTTTGTTTACATTACACGGCCACTAGTGTCTAGGACCCAGAATTGGTGAGAGGTTCTGTCCTGCTGTCTGTTTTCTTAGACCCTTTGCCCAGTAACATTTGAGACTTTAGAGACTGCACGTCTCGGAATACAGTTAAAACCTCCATAAAACTTGGGTATTTGTTTGGGGTGGGGTGGTGTGGTGTCTTGAGGTTGCCCCAGACAAAGCCTCATAAGTAAGTTTCCTTGTTCATTAAAAGAGCCACCTAATCTGGAGTGCCTGCCTCTTTCTTTGTTTTCACCTTGCTCTCTGCATACCGGGCCCAGGTACAGATTTTACCTGGGAGGTTCTCCTGGGTTGTACTCCAACAACATATTACTGAAAGAAAGTGAGCTGTACAAAGAAAAGAAAGGGGAGAGGGAATGTGGGAGTAGAGTTTCTTGCCCCAGAGAAAATCCTGAAATTAGGGTGAAAGGTATTATCACAAGCAAATAATAACAGCTCTTATTTCTTGAGCTCTTCTGTGTGTTGGACTCTGAAGGCTGAAAATGCCTATATTTGTATCATAAAAAGCCCATGAGAAGAACCCTGCTACCCTTCTCCACTCACAAAGTCACAATCTCCGATCAACAGAAAGGAGGAAAAAAAGAAAACAAAACCAACCAACAAGAACAAACTATGCATCAAGCAGGACTGTGAGTGGAAAGGAAATATTTCAGGCACCACACCCTATGAACTGGAACTGTGGAGAACTGTGCAGGAATTGCTGTGGAGGTGAGCAAATGGCTCTGGGCGACATTAGAGGAAAACAAAGACTCCTAGAGACCTGCAAATAGCCCAAGGCCAGATGGTAAGCTTGTGTGAAAAGCAGTGCTCTTGAAAAGTATCTGCAGATTGCAGATTGCAGCTGCCAGTTCCCGGTGCCTGCAACCTAGGCTTGCAGGGAGATGCTCGGGAGCCCTCATTGAGGTGAATGTCCCTCACTGAATAATCAGAAACCAGGAACCTGGACATGGGAGCAGGGTGCAAAAGGCGCCATTTCTGCAGACACTGAACTGGGCTACAGCC